CATTTTTAATACAGTATGCTACAGATCATGTGTCATAAACTTTGCTTAAAAAGTCTCATATACCCCAGCTCAGGAGAAACTCAGAACTTTCATAGAGTGTGTAGGCAGAACACAAGGGGCAACTCACTGGTTTCTCATAATGCAGTCCAATTAAACGTCTTCCTTTAATGAAACATTTTCACTTGCATTAACATTTCAAAAAATGTGTTCCCCTTTTTTCTGCCTAACTACTACAAATTAGACAATCTGCAACAGATAAACCCATTCCATCACATCAATTTAAAATCTGAGGATTATTTTATCAATTTAAAGCTGGCAATGGCCAAACCCTGCAGCTTTATCAGCACAAGGAAGGGACATAAAATTTAAACCCTAACTGAATATGTTGCACGAGTCGGTACCACGATACTTTATACTGTACAGTAGTTGAAGTCGGGATTACTCAATAAGTTTTAGATGTAACTTAAAATGCCAATGCATTCAATGCAAACTTGCAATGAATGCAGCCTTTCCACTCTTTTGAGTGGGAAATATATTAGTTTGAAAAGACTCAGCAACCTTGCCTAATCAAAGAAATTGTATCAACTATGGTACAATTTTATTGTTTGACAAGCATTCTGTAATTGAAAAAGGTGCGTTAAATGGTGTTCTCAATGAGTATGGTTTTAGGGTTAAATAGATTAAGAGTCAGGAATACCCAATACATGTGAGCTGTATCTGTTAAAATCCCAGTGCATTCAATGCCAAATGCAACAGTTTGAACAGCTTAATCCCTGTCTTTCAAACTTTTGCTTTTAGGCCAATTTAGACAACAGTCCCATTTAGGGCAATGCAGTGTATGGAGCCATGCAGAATATGCAAGAAAAAAAAGTGAACATTACATTGAAATAATGCTTTTCCTAAATTCCATTTCTGCCCTAAAACACAGCCTTGCCGACAAAAATCCTCTATGTTTTCTAAAAATCCTAACCGTAACCCTAGCTTTGGGTTTGGCAGGTTAGGGTTAGGGGTCAGATTTTCTTCAAAGAAATAATGCAACTTTTCCACTCTTTTGAGTGGGAAATATGACACAGGGCTTCAACATATTAGTTTGAAAAGACTCAGCAACCTTGCCTAACCAAAGAAATTGCATGAACTATGGTACAATTTCATTGTTTGACAAGCATTGTGTAATTGAAAAAGATGTGTTGAATGGTGTTCTCAATGAGTATGGTTTTAGGGTTAAGGGTCAGGAATACCCAATAAATGTGAGCTGTATCTGTTAAAATGTCAGTCCATTCAACGCCAAATGCACCAGTTTGTAAAGCTTAACCCCTTTCTTTCAAACTTTTGCTTTTAGGGCCATTCAGACAACAGATCAAAGAGAAAATGCAAAAATGTACATCAATATGGGACCGCGCAATTGTAGTTTTGACCATAAATTTCACCTAACAAAATGGTGCACTAGAAAAGCCACCTGTAGAAGACGTCTTCAAACACACCCAGCTTCACTGTGTGTTGCAAGGCTGAAATAATAGATTAAGTCAATATTAAACTGTTGACATAGGTAATATTGTCTTAAGCAAAATGCTTTTTTTAACAGATTGAGTTTACTTGTGGCTCATAACACAATACAGATTATCTTGCAAATACTGATATGTTTTAAGTATTAAGATTCATGTTATTAATGCTGTTAATGTTTGACTCATTAAAATTATCATGTTTATTTTAGTGCTACATAACTCTCGTTCTGGAATGTATTACTACAGCTAAAATTAAACAAAAAAAGCACATTGTGAAACACCTGATGAAGGCTCCACGGCCGAAATGTTGTGTTTTCTTTTTTTTTTCCAGCATGGAATAAACCTATCACTTGTTCCTTTGCAGCCTACGCATGCTGACGCAGCTACCCACCTGAAATACATTGTGAAATACATTACAGCTTCATGAGCTGTCAAAATGGGTGCTACTCTCAGGTATACTGTAAATACAATGTACAAAACAATTTTCAAGGAATAATACCCTCATTAAGGTTTCAAAGATCCTCAATTTATGTTAAGAAACATAAATAAAACTGTATCCTTATGGCTTGATTATTCTACCTTAATGTTTTCCATTACGTTTATCAGATGCCAGTCTGGGCATTAAACAGAAAAGTCCACAGATTGAATAGATACGGCAGAACTTACTGTTTAGCTGTTCATAACTTAGAAAATACACATTTTTAATGACTAAAATCAACAGCATTAATCAATAAAACTAACTTTTTCCATGTCCTTGGTTTGTGACAGATGCATCCCTCCAGGCAGAGAGAAAGCTACTGTACAACACAGTAAACTGCTACAGAAAGAGTAAAAAATGGTTTATATGGGACATGGATTTATTTACTGCTAGAGCACTATGTGAAGGAGAAATGAAGTACCCACATTTCTTTACAAAGTTAAAAAAGGAAGAAAAACACAGAATGGGATTACCTGCTAACTGCTGGTTTTGACTTTCTTCGATATTGCCTGTCCTTAATATTGCTCATTCTTTGAAACACTCAGCTAAGAGTAGCAACAGCTACTCAGACACATAAGCAAGCCATGATGTTGACATACAATATTGATGCTGGTCACTCTCTCGTAATTATAATACACAACAGTAACCAGGAACAGTATTTGCTTAATTAAGCAAATTAAGGAGACCGGCTTAAAATAGCCTGGGACAAAGGAAGTTATCCAGCCCTTTCTTGTTGTGGAATCTGATGGATGGATGAGAAACTTGAAAATACTGTCAACCAAACTAGACGGACCAAAAGGCCTTCTCTTTCATCTTGATTGTGCTATTGTATTTAGAGGCTTTTCCATAGTTCAAATGCAGAATAAATATTTGAGCCAATGCAAAAAAAATAAAGCTTAAAAGTGAATATTAATTTAAAACAAGAGCTTTCACTTTTCTAAAGCTTTTGAAGACAAAGTACAGGAAAACGATAAATGAAAACCTTCTTCAATGTCTGGCAAAGGTTTGCTTTTCTCATCTTTAGAATGCGGCATTGACTATCTTTTCATGCCAAACCATATAACTCATTTTTCAAAAACTTACAATCTGAGGACAAGATCAAAGTGAAGATAAGCCCTATAAAAGTTTTCTGCAATTTTATTACATTAGTACAATTCAAGAGTTTCCTTCTACCCATTCGTTGATGGAAAAGTCAATATCAGGATTATGCTCTATTTATACATCCAATCATGCTTTAGGTTCATGCACCTAGGGTTTCTAAAGTGCACATTTCTTTAATAGTTTAAAATGTACAGTATAAGCAATAAAACCAGATATTGTTACCATGAGAAGTGAGCATTCAAACAATTTTCAGTAACACATAAAGTAGTACTTTTACATTCCCAAAGTATCCCAAACCAGGCAAAGGAACAGTTACTATTCTTTATTTCTTTTATACAGTACATGTTTCTTTCTCCTTTTACAGGTACACAAATTCATGGAAATGGAAATAACCCAACAGGAGCAGTGTCCATGTCATTACAGATTCTGACTACTTCAAAGACTAGTAACTTTTCTTACAGGTTGTGTGCGCGCACACACACACACACAAAACAAATTGTACTTATCCTTCAAACATTTGCCTTCAGGCAAAAACAAACAAGGTTCTCATTTTTTTCTAAAAATACATACATACAGCCATACTCAAGATACTACAACCAGAAGTACAGTTGTGTTCAACAAGACTTTAAGAGTCATTCTGGGCTGGAGAATTGGATGTACAATACTACAAAGAGAGGGAAGGGCAACTTAAAGAGGGGACTCCACACTATATCATATTTTGTACTAGAATGATGCTTTTTTTTAACAGTTCTTTCCAGCGAAGTCTGTCATGGTTTCTACTGACAGTCAGGGCATTTATTGTAGCACAGAACCGGCACAAAGGGGTCTTGTAGACCAATCTCTGGCCATTGTCCTGCAGTCTCTTTACCTCAGTCAAAGGCTCTAAGCTCTCAATACTCCTGAAACCTCCTACATCTTGCTGGAGCGCGTCCACTCCTTTATAGCCATAAAATGCCCAATGGAAAATCCAAGGTCATGCTTAAGGAGGAAATCAGTGAGAAGGAAACAACTGCTTGTATATAATCCAAATACAAATAAACACATCAGATTCCACATAACATTAGGCAGAGGAGAACTCCTTTTATGATCAGGACTAATCAGTTCCAGCTCTTCCACTTAGACAGGTAAATGGCCATCATGCTTGTCCTTGATACAGAAGCTCCCTGCAGCCCACAGGGTTCAATCCACTCCAACTCTTACAATACACCCAGACATTGCAGGGAAAAAATGGCAACTAGTTAACCAGGAAAAACACCTGCCTAATTACCCTGTTCCATACCTCAAACTACATGCCTAGAGAGGTTACTATACAAACATTACTAATTGATGACCTTCCTCCCCATGTGAGAATGTGACTTTTAAACACTTCACCAATCACCTCATTAATTAACTAATCACCACCCACTGAGACTATTTACAGAATATAAAAGTCAGCTGATAAAATAGTTCCCTCAAATGATCCAGTGGTTCTCAGGTGAAAAGAACTGGAAAGCAGCCTAAATGAAAAACATGTAACCATATTTTTTCCCCTAGCAATAACCAGCCAATGTTTTGCAAAAAGTATGACTTTGAAAATACTGTCAAAAAAAGAAAAAAACTGCAAAACATAAAGTTATATCTAATATATTCAAACAGATTAAATGATTGACTTCAGATACTTAAGTCAACAAAGAATGAGTTTAGAGAGCATCTTAGATCAAGGAGACAGCCTTTATCTTATCACTTCGGTTTAATGTGTTTTGACTTAACTATTTCATGCCACAAGGGCATTCAAAGATTCTTATGCAGTGTAATTCTAGCCTAAATTATATGCTGTATCTAGAGCTTATTCTCAGGAAAAGCTTATATATACAGTATATTGATGTGACATTATTAAAATTAAATGTAACAATTAAGAGATTGAGAGTATCATGATAGAAAGCTTCAAAAAAGTAAAAAATTAGAAACAGAAACTTAGAGATTCGGAGTATCATGACAGCAAGCTTTAAAGAAATGAAATTAAAACTGTACAAGTCTGAAAAGGCATTGTATCAGTAAATTAAATAGCAAAACAAACTATGCCATAGAGTAGATAACATCTACTGTAACTCTACCTCAAGAGAAGTACGATTTTTTACTTACAGTACAAGATATTTCAAGCCAAAGGTAGTCTTAACACACATGAACCGATCCTTTACCTTAGGAGTTGAAGAATCGATTTCAGACCAATTTGAAAACCGCAATATGGATTTCCAGAAACAATGCAATGATTGTTATCAATTAATCATTCATATGACAGTACTTTATATTTACCTTTGCGTGATTCCATTTTAAGTACATGATTATAATTACAAATACCAGTATAAATGTATTATTCAAAATATTAAAATGTTATGAATATTATTTTTTTGCTTTCTTTTTAAACTCCACATTTAACATGGCAAATGAACAACCTACTGTACTGTATGTACCATATGATTTTTAGTATCCTTTCTTTAGTATAGAATATCTTCACTAACAATAACAGGTACAGTAGTTACAACCAGTAACAATAACAATAACGATGCATTATTATTCAAAATTTTCACTTTGGATGCAAAAATTAGCTATTTGAATGTTGTGCAATTGTATTAAAATGTCAGGAAGATTACACTACTATGCAAAAGGTTGGAGATATTTGTGACTGTAAAATGACTTCATCCCAGGCACGTTAGACTCACCTGGAAGGCCTGAGGTCTTCTGGCTTTTATTCATAATGAGCACTTGGTTGCAGAGTGAGTGTAAATAATATAATTAAGTGTATAAATGCAATACTTTGGTTTTAAAGTTTTCTTTAATGAAGAGAAGTGTTAATCACTGTAAGTGCAATTTTCTTTGATATTCAGTATAAAGAGCAAGACATTAATGTGACACACTAGTGGGATAATTATTAGATTCATTCTGAAGTGCTAAACACAAATCATGCTAAACACAGGTAATCAAAGTTACAACAATATGTATGTTTTAGAAACTGTTCTGTCCTGGTTTTCTATTATTTTATGTTTGTTACCTTTTCTAACACTTTCAGTTATCCACTGAGACATTAGGAATAATCATTTATAAGGGAACTTATAAAGCACCTGAACAATTGTTGGTACTAGTGAAAAAGAACTCGACAATGCATGACCTTCTTTACTGCAATTAATCACAGATCAATTCCATTCTTTACTGTCAATCAGGAATTTATTTGTGGATCTGCAAAATCCCTAGTATATAGACCTCTGGCTTTTCTTCCACTTCCTATTCTTATTAGAATGGTGCCGCTTCATCTGAAGCTTGATTTCTGATGTATGACTTCATGGTAACCTCGGGGACTTTTGTTAGCTCTTACGTGAAATACATACTTATTCACAAAGCAAAGGCATAGGCACAAAGCCGAGTCTGAAAAACATTGAACAGCCTTTAATCTGGACAAGTCGAACACCAGTATCCATCAGTTTAAGCCCAGTAAGAAAGATGGAAATAGGGTCAGAATAATTAAAAGGCTTCATTGATGAACTTCCACTGTAATTTGATTAAGCAGAAAGCATCGTACTTGCATGTTCTGCATTTATTTTCTCTCCAGAAGAAAATCAGTGCAACTGATTTTAGAGTATGTAGTAGTTTTTATCTCAAAGGATCCCAAAGTGATCTAGAATGTACTAAATGTGGGTGCAGAAGGGGACCCATATACAGTACATTGCTTGCATTATATATTGCATATAATTTTGGATTTCTTAGAGTAAACAATTCAAATTAATGTTTCATTTTCAGAGCTGGTATGGAAGTAAACACAAAATAAAAAAGTAATATTAATCTATTATAAGAACTGAAAATGCACGGCATTATGCTCATAGGAAATTACATTTTTGCTTTGAGAAAATCTGTTCACAGTAGGAATAGGTACTACATTGTAACCACATTAAATGCTAATGAACTGTACGTCTAATTTGTTGTAAATTAAGGAAAAAATTAAGATTTTAATCATCATTCAAGTAAAAAGTCACACAGAAATCTCAGCTTTTGTACAAATGTTTTATTTCATATAATAGGTACATATTGACTGAAGATGATGTTTTAGCGTATCAACCTAAAACAGTCAACAAAACTGATACTACTGAACAGAAAATTTACAATTTGCAGTAATGGTGGAATTAAAAAATTCAAAACAATAAAATTGGACACAGCTCAGTACAGCTGTAATACTAAGGAAAACACTTATAAATAGAATAAACCAAGGCCACTGAGAACAATTTAAAGAGAACAATTTAATATTTAATGTGATAAAACCAAGCCAATAACCCAGTTTTGTATCTGGTATATCATACAAATGTAATGTGGCTGAGGTTTGTTTTTTTTGTAAGCGTTTCATTTAAATAAACTTCCAGCGATTAAATATCAGCATTTAGCCATTCAGAAAAGGGTAAATGAAAAAAAAACAGTTCTTAAAATTCACCAAACAAAAACATATGTAAAAGGATAATTTTATCATTAAAAAAAGTTTACATTGTATGTCAGTAACAGAAATTGCATTAGGTGTATACTTTTCATCCAAATTACATGCCTGAACGATCCAGGATTCTAGCTTTAAGGTAGAAAATGATTTTCTTCACAAATGTGAAAAGATAAATGCAAAATGTTTCAGATGTTTTAAATGTGTTACTACGGTAAACTATTGCATTTTCATTACTTTTTTGACACCTCAAATGCCACCAGCTCAAGAAAAATGAACATCTTATCAGGAGATGTACGTTAAGTGCTGTGTGCCTCACTTTCAAAATACGAAACCATTTTCTTCCTTTACTTTGGACTGCAGATTCAGTATAATGACGTTTATAGCTAAATTCCCAGATATATACCATAGTAATAATAAATGCTCACCACCTAATGATGCTAAGGGATTACAAACCTCAAGCTGTGCAGCTTCTTTTTTTGTAGCTATATTGAATACTCTGCTGGGCACCATCAAAGAAATATAAGTATGCATCTATCAGATACATGAGAAGAGGCAGCTTTTTGATAGAGAAATCCTTGACAGCAGAGCAGTTTTTAAGGCCGACATGAATCAAACTGGGATTGTTTTTCTCTGATCTAATTTTATACGAATGCACGGATGCTCATTGTGAATCGTAAGATTACGTTCAGTAATTCTCCCCGTACAAATTACTCTGTTATGCAAGCCAACATGGACAACAATTTTAAAGAATAACACCAGTTTAGGCAAAATGGTTTTGTTACATGCATTTATAAAGCAAGGACTTTTTATATAAAATATTAATTAGCCCAAAGTAGGGCAAAAATCAACTCATGTATTCACAAGAAGCCCGTGTAACACAGAGGAATGGATTAACGGTGACCAAAGACAAGTCACTATAATAAATGCACAACTGAAGCCATGCATCAGTGACCTAGTTAATCTTACAAAAACACACACTGAAGTTTAATCACATTTTTAACCTAGCTAGGTTTGCTTACACAACTAACCGCTTACTGCTAATGCTTCTAATTTCTATTTTTCATTTTATTTTTTACAAAGCTAAGGAATGTGTAGTGGGGAAAAAAAGAAATCAACCACTACTTAAATATTTCTTAACGTTTTCCATCCTATATAAGTAGAACAGAAATACCAATTGCATGTGCATCAGTTTTCCCCACAGTTCATTCGTATTTATTTATGCATCTTTTATGAACAAGGCCACATATGTGGAACTGAGTATCCTGATCCAATGTATTGTGGCACTTGAATACCCTGAGGTTGACTTTTAGACAGAATTCTTGGCAATGCATCATGGTCTGTATTTTTATAATATAAAAATAAATGGGTGGAAAAAAACACAATTCAATATAAATGTCCTTAAGTAACCTGGGGTACTGCTTTGGTCAGTTGTTAAGAGTGCCGGAGGCTGTCCTAGAATTACTCATCTCTGCCATTCTCCACACTGAGCTCATTTTTTTGGGAAATGAGGAAGGACTCCCATATGGCAAGACACTGCAAAACATGAAACAGAAATTAAGGTAGAGTTTCTTCATATAGTTTTCATCAAAAGGCCACCAGATCACAGTAATACAGGCAGTATTCAAAATAAAATGTTAATAACAATTAAGGTTTTAATTTAAGCATTTAAGAACTAAAAGCAGACATATATTAACATCCCCTATCTCTGCTTGTACTGAAAATGTGTGATAATATAGCCTTAATAATTCAAATTGCTTATTTACTTAAGAAACGTTTCTGACAGTCATAGCTAATTCAATAACACAATATAATGCCATTTGTTCCTCAAAGAGAAAATCAATTAAATCTTAATGAAGCAGCAAAGGGAAAAGCATGGTTTGGCTTTGATTGACCCTTTTCTCCCTCCCCACTGAGAATGTTTAACTCAATTCTCTTGGGGCAAAACAGAATTTAAGAACCCCACTGCAGTTCCCATAATAGGATGGCACTGAACAATAAACACAGAGATTGTTAAACTCTAAAAAGTGTTCATCAACTTTATTGCAATTTGGAACTTTACACCTTTATGTTTTCGATTCAGGCTCACACAATTCAGTAAAAAAGTTAATTGCTTATTGTGTAATGTAGGATGTGCAAACCTGGCAGGAAAAAAATAAAAAATAAATTCATTGTTATAAATCAGCAGGCTTCAATTACCAATGACAGATCACTCGTTGCTTAAAATGCTTTTTTCATACACTGCAACAGTAAATCAAAACCAAAAATGAAACTGGTCTTTTTAATACCTGAAGCAAGTCAGACACAAAACTACTTCAAATTTAGCATCCAATTTCATTCACAAGCTCAGGTCAGTCCCAAGCTGAGTTATTATTTGTCATTTGGCAAGCCTTTGATTAATGTTTGTTCTGAGCCCCAATGCACTCCTCTGACACCGCAAGTTTTCAAGCTCTTCTGAATCACTGAGATTATGAACAGACTTGAAGCCAATTCAAAGACACTGCAGCTGACAAACTGTCACAAAGATTTAATCAAGATGGCAGCTTACCAGCGGATGCAAGCCTGATTCTGACCTTTCCCTTAGATGTTTCTGACAGTGCCTGCTAAGTGGCTATTAGCATGTAAGAAACAAACTAATAATCACAGGTTTGCGGTTCTTAACTTTGGAAAGAATGCTTCCAGAAAAGACAAATCCTAAAAAAAAAATATTAGCTTGAATTGCTAATGTAGATTTCTTTCAATGATGCCAATGAAAAATGCTATGGGATCCACATATACTTAAATTTGAAATATCCTAGCAGTAATCTTAATATTAACCATGTTGACATCCAATAAAAAAACACATATATAATTTTCTAAGGTACGTTTTACAGTACATATACATAGGAAACAAGGATAAAACATGATCTGTTAAAGTTTCTGTTTTTTGTCCTAAGCGTAATACTTTAATTACCCCTTCTTACAAGCTCAGCAGTGTTTGTAAGAACTGCAAATATTCAATGAAATGCAGCAATACATAGAAAGAGCCAACAGAAAAAGAGGAAAACAACTGTTGGGTGACCACTTAAACCTCTCCAGATAATTAAATTAGACCTCCCATCTGTTGATATATTTTAGGCATAAAGGGGGTTATTCATAAAACCTGCCATCTGGTTTACCATGGTGAAGTCTGTTACATCTTATTCTGCCCCTTTTCGATTCATAAATAGGGTTTACTGGCATGACAGGTACAGTGCATTGAAGGAGGGTGCATACTATCAAAACACAACTTTTTCTTCATTTGCATTCAATAAAAACGTTTCATAAAAAAAAGCTTATACGAGTAAATGGTTTTAACTGCTGCACCACATACTCACTCAACAGCTGAAGGTAACAATATAGGTTAAATACAAAATATATGACACTTCACAGTCTGTCCAAGGAGTCTCAGCAATCACCAGTCCTTTCAGAAATGTATCAGATCTAACTGAACTTCAATGTGAGAAAGCAAACATTATAGGCACAATTGAAGTGAGTGGAAAAACCTTGGTAAGTCTGTGCGAGAAAATTACACTCATAAATCATATATAGTATACACACAATTTGCCTTGACACTTCCCAAGAGTTAAACAAATGAATGCTGGAAACCACTATTCTTTCTTAAGAGCTGAGAGAAGCTATTAAATTAGTACAGTTAAGGCACTAACCAGCTAGTTAAGCTCTTTAAGGTATGGGCTGGAATAAAACCTGCAGACACACCCACCATACCCAGGATCAGCACTGGCCCCTGGTATATGGCCCTTAACAGATCTCCCTTGAGTTAATTCTCTGTATTACCTTAAACTAAGCAGTTTATAAAGTGATTTATCAAGGCCCTTATATACAAAAAACACTAGAAATAAAAAAAAACAGCACTGGATAAATAAAAAGAATCAATACAGATTTATTTACTGTATATATCTCAATTTCATTAATTAACAAACTTTAGTTAAGACTTAGTTTTGCGATTGTGCTATCTATAAAACCCATGCTGACAAATGAAGAGTCTGTTCATTACATATAATCAGACACTTTAAAATACCCTTTAACAGAATTAAACTGCCAGAAATCTAAGAATTTTCCATTAGAATTAAATGAAAAATAAAGACCTACAGTACCTGTGGAGCTCTTTATAGTGTTTGATGATATTTGTGCTAATGCCATATGGATGCCCAGGTGCTCAGAGCTATTCAGATTTGGAGTTTCAAATGATGAGAATTGCACAGCTGGACACTGTACCTTGTCTTCATTAAGAATTTCAGTCTGCCAAGACTGGGTTTTGAGCTATAGTTGAGGCTTATTATCCAGGGTGTTATCAGAAGGATAACTGGATATTGCTTGAGGGTACTTCCTTACCCTCCACAACTGCATTACACCACCACTCCCAAACCCAGCTTAACATGAACAAAAACAGTCTCTCTCTTATGTTCTTACATGCTACTGTTCATAAAGTGTTGCTACACAAATTAGACGTATTATGCAACACTCACCCCACAGCTAAACATACATAAATAAAACTGAACATCTATCACTAGATTTTAAAACAGCACAATATGTGTATAAGACGTACAATAGTTACATGCACCAAATTTGAGATGTCAGCCAAATGCAGCTGTAAATTAAGTCATTTCACAAATTCAAGAGAGACAGTCAGATGTTCACAAAAGAGAGAACAAAAATGTTTACGGAGCCCTTTCATCATCATAATAATAACTGTATTAACTGGATTTATTGTCATATGGTCATTCCTTTGCCACTCTAGACAATAAACAGCATATTTAAGGTAGTTAAAGTGCTCCCATGACAGTGCAGTTCCTTTCCGGCAATTTTAAAAATACAGTGAGATGACGTGTTTCTTTCCTCCACTAACCTCTTGTACGCACCAAAACAAGGTACTGGCTTGACAACTATGCAATCGGGAAAGCCTCAGAATGTGTAACAGTGCTACTGTATGGCTTCCATAGGAAAAGGAGATAATCAGGCTCTGAAACTGATATGCTGGTCTTAACCCCACTGAAACACTACTGGGATATGAAGAGCCAGGCAGGAGGATAGGAGGATAAGGAAGAAACAATAAGAAACTACTATCACAAATCTTTACTGGGAGATGATTAGGACTGAGCAAACATACTGTACATTGTCGACGCTGAAGCTGTGTGTCAGAATGCCTAGAATATACTCAGCTTTGAGACTGCTAAAAAGGGGGAGTGAGTGGTGGTTGGGGGATTTAGATGAGGAAAGATTGCCAGCAAAACCTTCCTCTTGCTTGTTAAAGAAGATACAGTAAATGTGCTCAGGAAACAACACATGTGGATTCTTCCCTGTTCAAAATACATCTAAAACCATCCATGTACCTTATACAATTCCAATAAAAAAACTAGGGAAAAATATTTGAACCGTGAGAGTGATTTAGTAAAAGGATACTTCTCTTTAAAATCCTCAATTTTCTTGTTGCTATGGTGTCTCCATGGCAATCCCCTGAAGTTGGTAGCTCATACAGAGGTAACACATGCCGTATACAGTGCTTAATAAAAAATGAAATAAAAAAAACATGTGGAAGATGGGAGGTGTGGAGGAGACATGGTGAATCATTTTCAGAAAAGTATTTTGTCTTCATTTGGATGAAAATGAGCTAGAGAGCTATCAGGATTCACTGAGGCTGGGGGAAGCAAGTTAAAAGTAAACTAAGTGTGAAATGAAATCAATGAGAATACCCATGCTGACCAGCCAAATGTCAAACCCCATCTACCTAGCCCTCACAGCTGCAGGTAGACTGCGAGATACAAATTCCCTCACTGTTGTGTTAAGTGTGGAGATAAATTTAGAAGGAACACGCATCTGGCTCTCAAGACTTTTCAGTACAGGCTCTGCGTTCTTACTGTCACTTTAATATTCCAGTTCTGGCACTGTAAAAATATATATCCCCATGACCTCAAAGCGGAGCACTGCCACTGCCTTCTCTTCAGGCTAAGCAGGGCACATTATTGCAGTGACAGCTGCATACAGAAGAATTGCACTTCCTTGAAGGTTTAAGAATTCTGTGAACCGTGTGCCTAATCCAGGAATCTAAACGAGTATTGCAAAGCTTTTCTTTATTGGGGTCACTTCATCTTACATAAATCATTAAAAGCCTCAAGCCATTAATTGCTTATCACTTCAGTCTTACCTACCTATGAAATAATAAACCCTTTGGAAAATATTCCAGCAGACATTTACAGTAAAGCAATCAATACTATCAGACCAGATGCCTTCTGCTACCTCTGTAGCACATTTGGAGATTAATATAAGTGTGACAAAGACTTAAAAGAAGAAAGGGTATATTTGGGTATAAGAAGAAAGGGTATATCTGACTCTCTGTATGGACTGTATATACATTTCTGAACTTGCAAAATAATTTGTTTATAGCTTCACCATTTAAAGCTAGCTGATTATATTTTAATTCTCATTATCTTTATTTCGGATTATCTCAGTTGCTTAGTGGTTGCTTGGGTATATAAGTATTATTTTAAAAAATGCACTTTCATTTATTTACAATTCATACATGTACTATACGTATCTATAAGTCATTTGTATTGTTATGTGTACTGTATCTTTCTTCAAATACACCTGATAATTCAAAAGCTTTAACCATTATCACATTAAATTAATACATCAAAATTGTCTCTTTTTCAAAATATGTCCTTGGTCATATAATGTCACTATCAAAGCCTTGTCTAAAACATGTGTTGTCACACAATGTTGCAAACTCTCTGACATTACATTTTGTAATTAAGAAAATCAATGCCACATTTTTTAATGGTTCAGTGGATTAATATTGAAATATTGAAACTTCTAGGGTGTCAATTTATATGGCCAATAAAATATATTTTATAATATTTTAATAAAATAGTTGCATACTTACAACCTAAAAATCCACTTTGGACATTAAATTTTAAATTACATGGAACCACTACAACCCTCATGTGGTAAGTACACAAACTGCAGGTGCTGCAAGACTTAGCACTAGGATAATTGTACTTTAGTATTAAAACTACACTTTTTAGAAAAAGGATGTCTTAATACCTTATTACTGAATGACTGCTTGTTGAGTGCTAGTAAATACCTTACACATTCCTTATTAGTTTATTACTGACAAAACAAAAGTAGCCAGACTTTGAACTACAAAGGTTCTAGTACAGTATAATTTTCACATACAGTACAGTAACTAACATGCCATATTTGTCTCCCATTCTGAAGTGTAACATTTTTATCTATACCTAATTATTACACTATGCAATTGATGTCTTACGAATCCAGCTGATATAGTTTGAAATGAACACAGAAACTCCATTAAAAAAACAGGACAGTTTAGCCACTCTTTCAAGTTTACACACCAAAGTAGGTCACAAACAATATAAACCGCTGTAAGAAATAAATAATAAAAGAAAGAATAATAGAAAGAAAGAAAAACGTTAAGCAAACATACTTCACTGAAACAATTCTACACCAAGTCTAGAAAAGTTAACGACAAAACTTGGTTCTTTTCACCTTAAAATCTCACCTTTTCATAATAATTAATATTTGTGTCAGCCATGTTCAGGAATGTAGCTTTCAGATCACCTTGCATACTTTTCAGCCACCTTTCCCAGTCTACTTTAAAAGCACTATTGGCACACTCCACTTTATCTTCAAGCTTCTCAATGTCTTCTTTAAGCTGAAAGAGGTGGAAAAATATATTGAAACTCAGTTTAAAGTATCACATTCAAAGCATTCAGAATTCCAAACTACAGATGTTGTGCATCACGAAGCAAGAGCCTCAATACTGAACATACCACATGAATGTTACAAGAACACAAACTACTATATTTCATAATGAAGAATCAGTGAGACTGAACTCACATTATTTCATTTAGCCAGATGAGTCAATTAAGAACAAAGTCATTTAAAATGCTAACCTGGAGAGTACTCATTTAGTGTAGATATCACTGCATTCACACGAGCAAACGGTGTCCCACAATAGACCATGAGGACTCCCTTCTACCACCACCAGTGCGTAGCACCCACCTGGATGATGCGATGGCAGCCAAAATGTGCCCGTACACTTAAAACACATCAGCTATCAGTGGGGAGGACAACAGAGAAATGAAGCCAATTCATAGATAGGGATTATTAGGAGGCTATGATTGATAAAGGTGAGGGGGGAATTTGGCCAGGACACCGGGGTTACACCCCTACTCCTCTAAAGAAACTCCTGGGATTTCTAATGACAATGGAGAGTTAGGACCTTGGTTTTATGGCTCTTCTAAAAGACAGAACTTTTTTTTAACAGAACAGTGTTCCTATCACTATAGTGGGTCATTAGGATCCACACACAACACAGGGTGAGTGTACCCAATTGGTCCTATTAACACCTCTTCCAGTAGCAACCTTAGATTTCCCAGGAAGTTTCCCATCAGGTACTGGCCAGGCTCACACCTGCTGAGCTTCAGTGGGCTGCCAGTTGTGAGTTTCAGGGTGATATAGCCGCTGACAAATGACCATAAAGACAATACATGAACTGCTGCACCATGATTTGATGCTGAAATAGAGATTCCTAATAAAAGCCATTGGAAAAAGTAACCCGAAAATTCTAACACTGGAAAAAACATGGTACCAGAGACCAAACACAGTGCCAAGACTTTTTCTATAGTGAAGCACAAACAGTTCTGAATCCCAGAAGACCATGAAGCAACTGAAGGACAATGGTCTAGACAAAGATTAATCAGTGGTTCAATCATTGTTGTTCAGTCTTTCAAATTGTTTTGTGTTTATTCTAGTAAGATTCAAGTACCTGCACAATTTTTCCTCTGGCTCGTAATGTGACATGTCAATCAATTCCATGTATACGCAACTCTAAGCAAAGATATATCAGGAACACTTAAGACAGCAGCATTATATACAATTTAAATGAATGATTTAGCCCCTAGAAGCTAAAGTTCGTATTTAATATAAGAAGAAACCTCCTTTAAATCATCCATCCCCTGACAATTGTGCTAATAAATGCAGCAGAATGTTTTTCACTACTATTAAATTTGCATTCAGGGGCTCAGTATGAAAAAAAAAACCTTAACATGCCTATCTACAATACAACAGAAAAAAGGCTGCCGTGTGTATACAAGTCTGCTATATAGAACAGCAAGCTCTGGTCTACTGGAGAGCAGGCATGCTCTACCTCATGTGGTTTTAATACCCTTATTTAAAGGGCTGTTCATTGGACATTATGACTGCTCTAGAATGTCACATCAGAACACTCCAGAGATAACTCTAAATGTTCATGTAGGAACAGACCTCCCAATATCAAACACAATATATAGCGCACTCTGACAGTATTTGCATCTTTGTACACTAATGATACATGTGATCAAAATTTAACATTTTTCTTTAGAGTATATGGTTTATAGGTGAACAATTCAAATGATAAATATAATGAAACAGGCAAGTAGGAGACTAAAGCTTAGAATACTCAACCAATGTTTACCTTTGACTTAGCTGCCATCTAATGGATGTCAATATTATTACAGTTACTCACATCAAAACATTTATTAACAAATTAGACACCTGTAAAGCATACTGCTCTTTACTCACTCTTTAAGTGCTAGTAAATTTGTAGTATTTGCTTTGGTTGGTTACAAAGGTAAGTACCTGACCAGTCTATGCACGGGGGTTAATGCATGACTTACAGGAGTCTGTTTCTAGTCTTACACTTTCATACAAAAATAATTAGATTTGATCAAATAAAACCTCAGGTGGCACAAACTTAAACCTATTTATTAGAATGACAGTTTTGCTGTGATACAAACTGTATTACTCTGACTGGATTTTATTGTATATAAACTGATTGAGTATATTTGTGTAACAAAAGATGATAAGAAATGTGTTTTCACTATGAATAAGCTTAGTCACATCCTTCAGTAGAGAATGAAAGAAAAAAACTGCAAAATGTTAAGCCCAAAAACGCTCAAAGCAATGTTAAATTGCTAAACTCCTCGTGTCCACACATAAAAGCAGTTTTTTTTTAAATACAGGTCAGTACTTGAGGAACAGCCTTATTAAATTGCACAGTTGCTTTAACAGAGGACAAGGAAGCAAAGCCATATTAGAGGGAATAAGAATGTATTAAGAATTTTAGCATGGTATGATAAGTGCCCCATCCTTAAAAACTTGCAAGAGAGTTCCTCACAAATCCACCTAATTTTACTGCACGTATTGTATACTGTAATTAAAACATATTGCCCCTGTACATCAGCCTATTATCCTTGCAGCTGAATCCAAGATGAAATGTCTTTACTGCATAAAAATGCAAAAAAAAAACTGCCACCATATTAATCCTATATACACATGGCTTTATCGTTGCATTACATAGTTTATGCATTAAAAAATAGAACATTTACATGAAAGGCAATAAAATCCCTTTATCCTTTTTGCTCTATATACATATTACTTGTTTGCACAGCAAGCTATCTTCAGAAATAATCTGTTCCCAGAACAGGATTAAGGGATCCTGCAAAACTAAAAAAAAATGCTACTTAACAGAGAAATCAATTTGTTCTCAACCTGATGTGGATCTCTCTTCACTGACTCGACGTTTTAATGATGGGGCCCTTAACGTCCTGAGTTGGTAGCATTTTAAAGCATTAAGAAATCAAGTTCTGGCAAAACCACCAAATCAAAACAGATTTTGTTTTCAAAAACTTGTGTGGCAATAATGACTCATTTAAAAAAATATCCAGTGATTCAACGGAACAGTTTATGCCTGGAAAAATGTTGAAATGCTTTTGCCTATCACCCATGGTATATTTTAAACATCATTTAATCTTGCTAGAAAGCCTGAAGTTTATGGTAATAGCACGGTTTACTAGGAAGCATTTGCTGAGCTTGTGCGTGCCTGACAACACGTATCATTCATACACTTTAATTTCAAATGATAGGGATAGCAAATTTGATATTGAAAGGACAAATACAGATTTAAATATTGACTTAAACCTGTAATATCCATGCAACTCTGCTGGACAATTTAGAACAACCTGACAAGTTACAGGATGGCAAGATCACTTCTTTTAATTAAGCATCATACCAGACTTGGTTAAGGAAATACAAAGTTTTAAAACATTACCAACTCAAGTTAACATCAGAAGAAAGCCAAAGCCCAAGACTAAGCAGCTCTGCAGCATTTTCTATGCTCTCAGTGTACCTCTTCAATTTCACCATCAAGTTTCTGCTGCTTCTGCTGTTTGGCTTCTTCAGGGTTTTTGCCGAGGAAACCCCCAAAGACAAAGCTTAGATCAGAGTCCTTCAGCTAGTGACACAGTGGATGTGTTAATCATTAGCTGTGACAGTAAGCAATCCTGATTTTAAACAAGTTAGCATATCTTAAGCTGTAGGAAAAAAAAACACTTCTGCAACATTTCAGTTCTTTAAATCATTTAAAACTTTTTATCCCTTGCAAGTTCATCTTCCCACACTGCTTTTCAAACACTTATTTTATTTGGTAAAACTGATTTTCTGTTTGTTTAGGGTACTGATTACTGCAAGGTGTCAGACTTTATTTAAAACTTCTCAGGAATTTTTAGCAAGAGACTGCTACAAATGTATATGCTCCAAAGCATATATATACATCATTTAAATCGCTCTAGACAACTTTTAACAGTGGACATTGGATGAAAACAGTATAAATTAACAACAAAAAAGAAAAAAAATAATTCATTTTTTCTGTCCCAAATTACTTACAACACAAATTGTAACACATTACATCAAAAAGGCTGTATGTGTATGCACAGCACAATTTTCAAAACTAAATCTACAATTTGTGCTTTATGTTGGGCACATGGGCTATTGGGCTATTTTTAGAAGAGATTACTTTGATACCTCAAATTCTAAATAAAACCCATGTATAATGTCAATTCTAAATCATATAGTTAAGACAATAAACCTTCTTTGACAGACAGACCTTTCTTCCTAAATGTAAACCTTTATAATGGAATAGTACCAAGAAATTATGCTGAGTAATGAAAGTGATTTTACAAAGCACAAGTTGAAGGCCTTTGTCTAACACACTTTTCAGTTTTTACCGTCTGAACACCACTCTCTTTCTTGTGTCACAAAAAATATACGTTTATTGGAGTTCACACTTTACCACACTTACAAAGAACTAAAATTCTCTTTGAAATCATTCCTAACTGTAGGCAGAAATGATCACAACTAAAATGAAGCAGCTAATTTCATTTTGTTTCCAATTTCTATTTATTTTGAAACAGTATCTTATCAGTCCAGAAGAAACAGCTTATCTGTAGTTTAACTATACTGCATATTCTTCTTAGTATTTTATTGAATTTTAATTGTGCTTTTGCACTTAACTACTGTCCATTCTATGTTTTCTTCCTGAAAGAAATGAGAAGTGTGCACTCAATTCCTCACCATAAATGTAAAAACCTCTGAGATGACAAGCGAGATTGAATGTTTCAAATATCAAACCTCAAATTTTATATCAATTTTGGAGTGGTATCATCCTATTGCCTCAAAACTATGATTTTACTGCTGACATAACACATAACGTCAAAAACATCTGACCTTCTATGACAGAGTGCTTAGTTTAACTATTTTAAATATTCAGACCACCTTTTAAAGTTAATAGATGTTTGCAATATATGTGTATAAACTTTAAACTGGCCTGTTTTAGAACATAAATACGTTTGTTAAAACTAAGAGAAAATGTGTGAAGACAGAAACTACTAATATTTATGAAGTGGCTAAAAGACGTGTACTACGGGAGAAAAAAAACATTGTGCACTTACTGAGTCTCTGTCTGACTTCTTATTTGCTAAAGCATCATTTTTTGCTTCATATTCAGCTTGAATGTTGTCCCGTCTTCTTAGTACAGCCTAAAAACTGAAAGCTTGTTAACAAGGTGAAGAACCATTAAAATCTGACAGTATATGGTGAGACCCAAACTGTTATTTTGTAAAAAATTATGACTTCACAGCTATCTTTGAAGTCTGTAGTAATGATAAAATTATAAACATATTTAACCCATAATGAAATACAATAAACCCTCAGTTTAACAAACTATAAAGGCGAAAGAGGTGTCCGTTTGAACCAAAAACACTCTGTTATATGAGAAAAATATACACTATATACAGTATATGCTTTATGGATATGTAAATACTTAATGCACAGCACTAATATTACTTTATTGTACTGTTCATATAAATACACTGTATTGAGTTACAGTACAATACACTTTTGCTTTACTGGACTAACAGGGGAAAGGGGTGTCCGGTCTTGCCAGCTGTCTATTAAATCACCAATGACATATTTCAGGCTCATAAAAATCATTTATGAGAAAAAAAAGTCAGAAGTAAACCAAGAGTTTTGGAATGGTAATAGACTACTGGAAGCTTGTTCATCATATCCTTGAGGACCCTTGGGCTCTGCTACGGGTGGCAATCTGAGTGAGCCATCAGCATTTGCACACAGTAATAGAGAGATCCTTTCCTTGCTGATTTTAGGTCCTAGCACAGACATCTAGCGCTTGGATATTTTCAGGGTGTGAACGCCAGAAGAGGCCAGTCTCATCGAGACATCAGCCTTGTACAGCTGGGATAATATGATGTCTTCAACTTGGATTCATTTACTAATTTCCTTAACGAATGCTTCCATCTCTTCAGTGGGTGCACTCAAAGCTTCACCATAGGTTCTTTTATTCACTATACCATAAAGTTATAGTGAAATCTCTAAATCCATCCATCACTGTCTCTGAAATTTCATGTATTGGATCGCAATTCAACACCACCCTTCTTTAGCAGGCAAAAACACTCCTTACCAGAGTTTGTCCATTAAATCCAAAGTCTATTAAAGGGTGGGTTTACTGTAATTTAAATAATCATCTTCTCCTTACAGTTTCTGCCAAAATCTGTTTAAGTAAAACCAACATCGCACACCTAGTTCCTATTATTTAAGTGCCCTTGATGGGATTCCCTTAAATACATTAAATTATGTGGACTGCCATAAGAGTTTAAAATGCAAGACGTGTCTTTATAAACGAGAAACATACCTTTAAGGTCTCTGCACAAAGAACATATTCATGCAGAACTGGAACCACATTTTCAGACAGTGCATTCACTTGCTCCTCAGTTTCTCTGCAGCATTTGTCGATGCAGTTAGCCATATCTTTAAGAGAATCCCCAAGTTCTACTTCAGATCCAGACCACAGCATATAAACTGGACCATATTCCTTCATCTCCTCCAAATACTCTGAAAGAAAATTGACCATGAACACCGTGTTGGTTCAATTTAAAACAAAATGAAGGGAGAGTTGCTTTACTTGCTACTATGGAGATACTCAGAATGTAGAAGTGGACAAAACCTAGCATATAACCTTCAATAAAAATAACTGGCTTTGAATAAAAGGCCATCACAGAATGTTTGATAATACACTGAAGGTAATGTTACTTAACAACACTTGCATTTTTAGAAAGGATTTACAGATGTTCTGTCCTTGTTAGACATTCTAACATTACTAAAAAGATTGTATTATGAAAGATATTAAAAAGACAATGAGTTGGCAGATGACTCTTTAAAAGTATGTTCAAACTACCAAATTTCCCAGACTGAAACACAGATCTGCCTTTATTAACCTGCTATGATGGCTAATATGCGATTTAATATTTTAGCCATACCTTTCTGTTCTTTGGAAATTCTTTGTGTAATTTTATCCAGCACAATCATCTTTTGACTGAACGTCTCAACGTAATCACCGATTGCCGTGAACTCCTCTGGTCGATTCTTAACACCTCGTACTGAGGCAGCGACTGCCCGCACAGTTTCTCCTACCCTGCTTAGGATGCTAGGGCCCTGCTTTTTGTGAGAAGTCAGCTCCTAGAAAATAAGAACATTTTGAAAAACAAAGAACAGTTCATTAACAAAGAAATGATGATACCCAATACATTTAAGAATACCCAGGACTTCTTATAAAAGAAATTCAAGCAGAAAGGAGCATCTCTACCAGCATGATAATCAGTTTTGATACACTGAAATAAATCAAGGATTATAAATAGTGATTATGAAGAATGTAGTATCTCATTGTCCTTCGGGAAATTAAACAAAAATGTAATCACTACAGACAAGCAAAATTTACTAGCAAGAAATACAGGTGAACAGGTAACACTGGCTTCATCTTAATGTCCTGCAAAGATGTTCCTGAATTCAAACACAATCAAAACAGAGGTGATCAGAGGATTTGAAAATACTATTAAAAGGGTTAGAATTAGCAATCTTACAATAAGCATTTGCTATTGCTAATACATACCTAATAGAGGAACAAATAATGTTGTCATTATAATAACAATACTTATTAGCAGGAAAATATGAAAAATGCAAATATAAATAGGTTTATGGACACTATGGACACATTAAATGCACATCTTTAAACTCTGCAAAATCCATTTCACCCTGAGCTACTTAATGCTGAATGGTAATAAAACTCTGACTTAAGTGTATCGAAGTAATCTTACCTCGGCTTGTGCTGTGAGAAAAAATTTGAAGTCTTCATCACAAGAGAGAAGAGGATGATCTGCAATTTTGTTTAAGAATCTGTGAAGTGCTTTCCTGCGCGTCTCAATGAAATCTTCATTGAATCTTTCCATCATTCCCTTTACGATAAACTTCTCTGGCAGTGGCTAAAAGGAAAAAAAAAGATACAGTCATCCAAAAAAGAAGAGCACACTTAGATCTTTAGCCTTCTTCCTAAAAAACAAACCCCCCCAAATTAAATATTTTACTACTCTAACAATGTTGCAGTCTGCATATGAAAGTGCTTTACTTATAGGAACTTAGTATTAGTGAAAAAAGGTTCATTTTAAAGAATAATAAAAAGCTATCAAAAACAAAGATGTTTAAATCATATAATAATAATAACAATAATAATAAGCTCTGGTTTAACAGTTTAGGAAGTTAAAGCATATCGCATACATGAATGATTAAAGTTGGATACTTCTCCTCCAGTTTGCCTTTTAACCAAAGAAAATCCTGATAGCGTCTGCGGACTTCATACTCACAAGAGTCAAACTCACTACGAGTGGTCTGAAAGAAGAAAGTAAAGGTTAGACAAAAAACAATGTTTTCAATTAATTTCTACCGATTTAACAGACATTACACTAGTTAGTCTGTCGAGTTATATTACAAATTCAGGTTGCTTTGAAACCCTTCACATTCATTTTTAAAGCAGGGAAGTTAACTAATGTTTTTTTTTGGTAGAACCGTTTAAGGGTAACATTTGAAAGATGATAGGAACTATGTATGTTAATCATACAATTATGATAAAAAACATGGGATTGGACTTAACATCTATATGAAAATGTGTACGTATTGAAAAAAAGATGCTTTAATCCTGTGATATAGATACTACACATTAAATGTTACAAAATCTAAAACAGTCAAGACAGGAATAACAGAGAAACCCCCAATATATTCTCTAAATTTTTAAGAAAAAGCCACTGAGTTCTTTCTTGTTATGGCACTTTTTAGTTACTCCTATAAAACACCAGAAGTTCAGCACCAAATCAATCTTACCTTAGTTGAAATCTTGTATGTAATGAAGGTCTCTATAGCTGTCACATGGCTCTCAGGGCAATCCACTGTAATGAATATATCTTTAGTGTCTGGCTCTTCCTCAAACTTATACTGATTAATCATTGATGAGGGGGATGTTGGCATAGAAGCATTGAAGGAGCTGCCATCTGTCAAAGTTGTATCCTGAACATGTAAAATACCATTAAAAAGATTCAGTAAAGGGTTACAGACAAATTGTAGGCAAACTTTATTTGAAAAGAAAATTATGCAGCAAATGGAACTTTTGGGTAACAGGCCTCTAACACATATATGACAATAATGAGATGCCTTCTACGCCCAAATCTGTCATAAAAGACAATCTAGAGCAGACCATTTCAAACTGTGGTCATTCTAATCCACTTACAGATTTCCTACAAACAGCTCCTTAATTAGTTGATGATCAGTAAGATCAATACATTAACTGAGTAGCTGGGTATATCACTATTCTGGAATGGAGTGGACTGCGAGCATCACAAGTTGAGGAGGCCTTGTACAGGACATCTACTGTATGTAGGTTTGGGTCATCCAAATGGAATTAGTGGGAATCACGTACACCCTGGGAATGCTTTTATGCTGGGAATGCTGGGGATAAGTGTTTTTTGATAGCTAGGAAAAGATTTAGCTACCCAAACTTTTAGTTAATTTTTACTACTATTGAAATAGTTGTCACAAATCTGTTCACTAATTCTTTGGTCTTGAACACTCATACATTGCTAACTGTGCACTGTGGTTAATGACTCTGTCCTCCTTCCAACACCATCTCTTTACCTTGTGCTTTTGTGCGAGATACTATAAGAGAGCACCTTACAGATAGGGAAATGTGCTCAGTGTTGTTCAAGTTCACTCATATACAGGTATATGGTATAACAAAATGCGATTTAGCTAGCTCTCGGACATACTGTAAGTAGTACAAAGAAAAACAACAACAACAATACAATTGTACAACAAAAGAAAGACAGAGACAACAGGCAGTGTGCAAAAACAACAAAAAGGTAACAGGTTATGTGCAAAAACATGCATCAACAGAATGAAATAAAGGGATAGAAATTACGGGGAGTGAGCTTTTGACATGTATGGTAGAGGTAGATTTTCAATGTGTGTTTGGGTTTTTGGTAAGAAAGAAGGCACTGTGAGGTTCAGATCATAGGTGAGAGCGAGAGAGGCTGGGAGTTTAATAGTTTGATAGTGCGGGAGTAAAAACTGTTTCTGAGTCTGGTAGTGCGGACCCGAATGCTCTGGTACCGTTTTCCAGATGGTAGCGGATCATATAGTCTGTAGCTGGGGTGTGTGGGGTCTTTGATGATGCTTAGAGCTTTCCTCAAGCACCGTCTGTCATAAATGTCCTGTATAGATGGGAGGGCAACCCCAGTGATGGACTGGGCAGTTTTCATCACCCGCTCATATTGTGAAATATGAGCTGATTAATGACAAAGTAGACTTTACAGGGGACCAAAGAAGAAACCTAAAAAAAACTTCATATAAAAAAGTCATATTTTGCATTAATAAACTACAATTACATGTGGCACTACACAATTTAATTTAATGCCCTGTTTCAATTAAAGCTGTTCAAAAGAAAAGATAAATCCTATAATTTCTTATACCAATGAAGAATAGTATGTTTCAATTGAAACACCAACTGAATTTTTAAAAAACACCCTTATAAATGTTTCAGGGAAAATGGCTGCTGTTACATAAATATGAAGTTTCCATATATTTTCAATTAATGTACTGTATAGGCCTGATGGACTTTCACGATTTTTGGCGTCTAAATATTACAACAAACAATTATCTATTATTCCTTTTAATACACATATTTCATACTTAACAGAACTGCTGCTGATTATTAGTACTAACAATATAATGCTAAAACACCTTAAAATCATGTAATACACCCACTACCACATTTTTTTTTCTTCTGAATGGATATATGCAAACACGTTTCACTTTTAACAGTGACAGTCAAAACTTTCCAGGACTTCTGGTTTTTACATAACTTTGCATTGTACAATAAACGCTTTCTTCCTATTCAAATTCTGAATAGCTACAGTATGCAAACAAGCCGTATACAGTGCGGGGTATACTTCAATCATTGCTTTTATAATGACATCCCCTACAGCAGTAACAAAACACGGCGACTGCCTTGTCAGCAGTCGGCAAAGCAAAATCCCCTCAACAGTGATTCGCTTGAAACCATAAGAGGAAACAATCGGTATTTAATGAGTCAAACAGTGCATGACCACATTCAGACCATGGCAAATATTGTGTAGCACGACAGTTCTTAGTTATAATGCTTGATTAGTACACAGGCTAAACCCAATTTGCCTTTCAACTTTAAAGCAGAAAGGTGACAGTGTCAGAACAGCAAATAATGCTTTCTGGAGAACTTACAGTATTATATCAACTTTTTTTTGTTTTATGAACTGCGATACAAAGTTGATCACTGTAAAGTAGTTTTGCTAATATACCCTCTAACGCGTGCCAATAACTGCAATAAAACTATACAAATCACAATAAGGGATCGACAGAAAGTTAACAAGAAACTGTACATGTGTTTGAATAAAAAAAAACGAGGCTCCCACTGCTTTCTCACTTCACTGTTTTTACATTGTACCGTATGTAGTATGGGTGAAGAATGTAATCTATTTCTGATTTGTTCCTTCTATGAAGAGTTCAAAATTATTGGCAAGCGCCCTCACTCTCCTTGCGCCTGACACAGAAGCCCGAGCTTTTGAACTTTGATACGCCAATAAAACTAAATATGCGCTTGTCTTGCATCTGCCATTTTTACGTGTTATTTTTAAGCCATACCAAGAAGTGAAGTCAAACCTGGCATCGTGAATCTACAAGTGGAGTGTTAACAGTTCTTTCTCGCAAATACATTTGAACCTCGTGAAATGTCTAAAGCAACTTCGAACGAATTAATCTCGGTGCACCGTCAAAAAAAACGCGCAGCCTAGTGAAACCACGTAGCAAATTCCCGATGCATTCAGCTCTTCACGGGAACTTTTTTTTTATCTTGTCATGGAAAACAGTCTCTTATTACCCTTTTCTTACCTTGCTGAAAACCTCCAGGTCCTCATCTTCATCTAAGTCTAGCATTTGCCTGGAGAAATCCGGTGCAGCTTTGGCAAAAGTGCTGCATACAGCGGAATCTGTTGCAGTTTCACTGTTCAAAGTATCCATATCAACTCCCTGCAAACTCCGGACAACCCAGCAAGGTATTCAGTTCAGTTCAGCGGCAAGCACTGCAACTCAAGCCTCCGCCTGGAAAATCAGATTCTCACTGCGCAACAACGGAAATATCGCAGACAGGAAAGACTGCAATCTCCGAGAGAGAAAAAAAAACGCAACCATACGTGGGAATCGAAAGTGTGACTGGTTTTAAATAAACAAACTTTTAGTTGCGATTATCAGTTTATAGTGCTTTGTTATTAAATTGTCATCATGAGCTCAAGGCCTCCGGTGGACACATGACCGCACCTGTAGTTCTTAAGATTACGTGATAATATGCCTGACAAACAGGTTAGACAACATTCACAAGAGGTTCAGAAAAAGATAGATGCGGGCAACCTAGTTATTTTCGAAGATTTGCCATAACACTTTTGTCTAGTTTGAAATCGGGAGGCAACAGAGTTTAAAGTCGTCGGGGATAGTATAGAGACAACGACATGGTCACATCTGTAGATAAAGTTAACACATTTAGCGCAAACACATTTGTGTACACACACGTTTCCCAAAGAGTGCGCGGACATACTGTACTGTACATGGTATACAAAACAAAACATCAGCAGTAGGGATTCAAATGAGCAATTCATAACATCAACAGAAAAGGGACAACTCATAACAAAGCAGTTGTTTCACCCAGGCCCATATGAAGGGAAGGTCTAATTTTTAATCTCTGAATAACTTTTAAATGGTAAATCATTTTTTTGTGCAGATTCCCCCCCCTTCGTGCTAATTGACCTCTGACGTTTTAGTGCGTAGGTAAAATATCCTTTTTCATGTTTAAAAACTGTACAAATGAATAGCTTCACACCCAATTGTGTAATCCAAAACCAAAAACAATGTAAACAGCAATACAGTTAATAGAAGGATACTATCAACCATAAGATTAGTTTAGGAAATATTTTTTAGGACTGCATTCCAAATATTCTGCTTTACAAAATATGATATTTTAATATTGTATTTCATACATTGCATAACATTTGTTATAGACTTTTTATTTTTAGGTGGAAGTTTGTTATTCATACACATCTTTGGAGATTTGATTTGTTATGTAGAAATCACAGTGTGTATGTTACATAAAAAACAGAATAATGCATTCCTATATTTATTGCTGACATTTTACTAATGTCAAATGTTAATGCAAGCGTGTGATAATGTCAGAAAACATTATTAAAGCACATTGTTAAAGTTCAAGAAAGGCAGCAGCCCTTTGCAGCTTATATGCGCTGTATTTTTATGGAATAATTCAAAGAATCACAGAATACAAAAAAACATGTTATGTTAACCCATAGCCCTATGTAACTTTGATATGAGGAATGTCATTATTATTTGGAATGTTTTACATCTATATTATTTAGAAACCTATACATCTTTTTTAGCTTTACAGCATGCCCATACTTTCTTCCAAAAAGGCCTTTAATATTTAATACTTATAATGTTGTCTAATGTTAATAATGTTTACTCCATGCCACAGAGGTGTAGTGGATAGTGCTGCCTTATAGGTTTAAGGTCCTGGCTTCAACCCTTCTGTGTGGAGTTTACATGTTCTCCCTATGTCTCCCTATGGTTTTCTTCGGGGTTCTGTGGTTCAATTGTTTATTGAATTCCAGAAACATTAACTGTTCTGTGTGTCCCTCTCATTTGCACTCCAAAGTATTCCTTTAAGTAAAACCCTAAGTAAAAAAATCGTCAATTCCTTTCTTCTCTTTAGAAGTGGAATGAAAGCCTCTGGAACAATATAGAGGAATCTGAAGCTTCTTGTTTCCCTGGGACATTAACAGAGGGCAGACATTCAGCAGCAATATGCATCATTATATTGTAGGTATGGTCTGGTAGCTCTTTGGACACTGCAGGCATTGGTCATTGACCACAACATGTTGGTAGATGGCTTTAAAAGAATCTACGAAAAGCTTAATCTACATGACCACTTTCCAACGTAGTGTCCATTATAACTAGTAGTACAAAATAGTGTAAATAGTAAATAGTGTGTAAAATAATAGTATAAAACTACTACTAAGGTGGCAAACCACCTCTGAATAAGAAGCAGGTGTATCTTGCCACTATGGGCTGCGAAATAAGTGTTTTTTTTAACTGCCATTCAAAGTTGCCTACACAAATGTGGAATTTGGGCGTCTGTGGATGGGTTGCAAAGAAGAAGCGAGTTCTGTGGGTGTGCCACAAATAAGGGTGACTCAAAATTGCCATAGATCATTTAAATGCCTTATCTGGACATGCTAATCAGGGTTGTATTTGGTATAAAAAAGATGAAGCGCATTTTGAGAAATATCTATGCTCACTGTGAAATATTTTGAGGGGGACATTTTGTTTTTGCATTCACAGGTCACGGAGGCCATTCATATGAGGATGGTTATCTGGTCCTTTCTGTCAAGAAGCTTATTTGGAGTCAAAAACATTCCACCATGACAAGGATCCCAAAGGAGGACAGTGCATCCAGATCGACAAAGGAAGGGGTAACTGCTTAGAAAATAAATATTGTTGTCTGGTCTCAGTCTCCAGACCTCAATACAATTGAAAGTTTGTGATTCTATCTCCAGGATCTAGTTCTACATGGTGGAATGTTCATAAATTTCCCCTCTGAAGTGCCAGAACCACATAGCCCACTACAGGAGGCGTCTAGTCAGTGTAATCCTTGTGAGAGAAGGGTTGTAATAAACATGACTCATATTTTTTATGGACTTAAATAAATTATTTATGGCAAATATTACCTTGGTCTATACAATGCTGTTAAGATTACTGTATAGCATTTTTATATTTTATAATCACAAAACATTATCCAGTCTATAGGTCTTCCTGCTATTAGATTTTTATTGTTCCTGTTTCATCAGGGACATGAATACATTTGGAGGACACAGTAGATGAAACAGATGAAAAGTTCCAAGAAACAACTGAGACAAATTTATTTCACTTCCCTTCTAAATTTGTACGTACTCTACAGTACTTGCTGGGTCAATGTTCACTCTTTCGTGAGTTGAGAGCTAACGGGCTTTTGATTTTATCACCAAAATGAACTACATCTGTAAAAAAAACGGACTTTTTTCAACCACCTGCGTTGCTCAATAGGCCAGTCTCAGGTGCTGGATATGTGAAAGATTTAGATGTAGACAACTGTAATCTTTATTTTCTTAAATGTTTCTTTATTGATATTGTAAAACAAATACTGCAGTTTACCAGCCTCTAAATTCTCAGAGAACTTTACTCAATTCAAATATCTCATTAATCTTGGTTTGTGCTGTGATTTTATTTTCAAGATAAAGTTTGTATGAAGATTGTCCCCCCAAAACAAAACATCAGAATTGAAATTTGTATGTGAAAAAGATGTCTAAGTTTAACAGGAAATATGCAATTCCTTGCACTGATATTACAGAGATACCTACTGTAAATTGTAAGTGTTAGAAGGCTTAGGGGGTGAAAAAGCACTTTTTAAACTTACAGTAATTTAATTTGGACACCACTTAAATCAGCTGAGGTTGTTTTGTATAAACAGATACTAGTCAATCAGAATGATGTATTGTACATACAGGTTTAATTGTGATTAATTTGAATGTTTTGGAAAGCCCTTACGATTTCATACTTGGAAAAACATAATCGATGTCTGAACACCTCACCCTTTTTGTATACTTCAAGTCATTCTAAACAGCACAAATTGTTTCACTTCCATGGTCAAAATTATTACCTTGCTAAAGCACAAAAGAGGAATTACCATTGAAACAGGTAACCAGAGGATTCCTTTACAAGTGATTCTAACAATTTCATTACTTCTCTTACACCCAAGGTCTAATTTGAATATGCAATAATGTCAAAAATTCACTATGCACAAATGCACTTCAAGTGCCACAATGTCAGTGCATCTCCATTGCCAAAGGATTAATCATTTTTCATGGCTATTTTAATGAAACTAACACATTGGCTTTGATTTGGCCTGTTTGGGGACTAATTCTCCTTCTGTGCTGATGTATGCATACTTAATAAATTACTAGAACCTTCAAAGTCATAATTGCTGTGCTGTCCATGTCACATTAGTTGGACTTGTGTGGCAGTGGAGCCAGTGATGCCTACAGGGACTCTGACATCTAAAAGTCTGAGTGGATGTGTCCTGATTTGCCTGATTAATTAGTACCTACATTAAAGTGCAGCACGGTTGAGCTTAACAACTAGGCCAGTAAATTAGAATGGTTTTGATAATGAGTAGTATCGTCTGACTGGTGACTCTAACACACTGCAATGTGAAATTGACAAGATACGTACTTCAAGATATCCTTTCTCCCTGGAGCAGGACACTGGCTCCAGGCGTCTGCACCACTGAAAGTGAGCTTCAGGATTTCCATCTGTTACAAAGTGAAATACTATAGAAGAGATCTGTGTTACTATTTCATTTTGACTTTCTCTGTCTCTATAATTTGAATGAATAGCATATTTCTGTGTACCTTCTAACATGACAGAGCACATGTTTCTTGAGTGCATTTTTCAATTCCTGTACCACTGTAATATTGCTCTGCTTTCTCATAATATATCTGGGCAGATATAGAACAGATTGAACAATTTGGCAGTAACCTTGCTTCACTACAGCAAAGACCTCCACATCTGATCCCAGAGAGCCCTTATCTAACTGGTAATTATAAGTAATCTAAAGAGCAGGGACAATTTAACTGTGAACAGTTTAGCAGATTGTGTGTTAAATTAATTATTTTTAAGATAATATGGATATAAAATTAGAATGATTGAGCCCTCAAGGATCAGAGCTCTGAACACTATTAATTATTTATTAATTGCCTCATAACTTAAAAGTCCCTAATCTTTAAAAAACAAGTGATACTGAAAACAGTAACAGTAGAACAGCATAAGAGATGCCTGTAATACAGAACCTTCTTCTTTGGAGTGGAACATCCCAATTTGCACACCCAAGAGGTAGTATGTTCTACTCATATGTATGTACATATATGTACATATTTGTAGAAAAGATCACATCAGTTGTCGCACAATGACATGAAAAATACTTAGTGTCTTCAGGTCAGATATTGAAGTAATATTACAAGATAACTGCACATAATATAATCACATTGGCTTACCTGGGTTGTTTAAGGGCAATGAGCCTCTGTCCTTATCCCTTATTAATGACAACCAATGTGACTCCTGTGGTGATAGTTTCAACAGGCATTTATTACCTCACTCCATTAGCAAGCAATAGCATCTTTAGATTACACAGTAGTTACCATAATTAC